ACTTACGACAGTTGGAGAGTCACCGCATAGACAGCCTTACTGTCAATAGTAAGTCAAAGGCCAGCACCCGTACCAACAGTCGATCTCCGGCCAAACCGATAGTCACAAAGACCAGTGCGGGTACGGCGGCCGCGGCCGACACAGAAGTTTCCGTCCATAGCCTACCGCTCACATACCGGTGCCGTTACGAGGGCTGCGCCAACGTCTACGCCACCAAAGTCTTATTGTATCAACACTTACGGGAGTTTCAAACTCACCGTATTGTGGATAGTAGGCCAATGACCAGCACTCCTCGGCACAGCCGACTGAACACCCGTATCGGTCGGAGAGCTTTATTACGGGCGCCCGAAAGTGTCGGTGAACTCATGTGCGGCGACTGTAATCATCTGTTTGTAGCCCTGGAGGAGCTCACAGGGCATACATGTTCCGCACGTTTGGCGCCCACCGGCCAGTGGTATACCGACGTAGACCTGAACACCACAAGTGCCCAACACTGCGACCGCGACTATAGAGAACGCCTACACCTGAACTACCCGTGCGATTACGACGGCTGTCGCACAGAGTTTAGCAGTTTATCGCTATTGAATGCACACAAACAGGAGTTTCATTGGACTTAACGGCCAGACATTGAAATTGTTTTTTACTTAAATAATAATTAATAATTGATTTTTTTATCTCTAATTTGTTTGTATTGTTTATAATTGATTTTTGAAATGTTTTATGATATTATTGATTGGTTTTGGCTTTAAATTATATTATATATGCAAATACTATGACAATTGTTGTGATTAAACATGATTATAATAAATTAATATTACCTTTGTTATGCTCAATTAATAATATGCAAAATGAATAAAAATAAGTTTTATAAATGCAAATGAAATGTTGTTTTAATTATTTTACTATTATTGAAACAATAAATGAATTTATACTGTATAAACACTCGTATTAATTACTATAGAAATTTAATACAATTTTCTAACCCATTATGTCTTACCTTTGCATTCATTTGCGTAACAATTCAAACGATTTTCGTATAATCATATATTTTGATAGACTTTTATTTTAAGGTTATAATACTTTTAATTATTTATTTATTTGTAATTACAAAATGGAAGTATTATTTAAGAATTATAAATAACATAGAAATACAGTATAATATACTATACATATTATGTAAATTGTCAATAGTTTGGAAAATGAATTAATTGATGTTCTGTTAAATGTTGTTTAGTTGTTGTCTTGTATTCACATTTAGGCCAAAAACAGTGGAAATAATCATCAGATTTAGTAATGATATGACAATTGTTTAGCATTTTATCACTNATCAATTGTTTGATTGATTGAAAAATAATCATTATTTTCGCATTCAATCGCTTCACACAAAACACTATTATTTGTATTCAAAATACACTGCATTTTGTCTATTATTTCACACAAACTCTTCATTGCATTGAATTTACTTTTCATTTCAATCAACGAAACAGTTATTAATTTTGAACACATTTTTAATAAATATTTTAACAAAACTATTGCTTTTCAGGAAAACATTTTGTATAAAACTTAATGAAACTTAACATTTCTTTATATACTTTTTAATCGATAATAAATATCCGGTTTATTATCCATGGATTCAATGCATCCCTGATTATAATCTCTAATCCATTACCACTATTACATTGTATATATCTTTAAGATAGAGTTATTGACCTCTCTATGGCTTATATGGCAAACAACACGTATCACTAAAGCTTAATTTCTAAGATTTTGATCAAACAATTTATTATTCGTTTAAATTTTAGGTCAATTGAGTTCAACAAAATGGTGGACACATTCCCGACGGTTAACACCAGACAAACACAGCCAAAGATACTGAGTGGTCAACAATCGGGCGTCACTTCACTCGTGGCCAACAAACTGTGCCTTAAGTACTGTTAAATCACAACTCATTTAAATACTATTATTGATAGTAAATGTAATGTAATGTAATGCTTAGAGTCTCTATTTTTCGGGAACTCCCGAATAAATTTAGTGTATAAAAACATCGGGAATTACATACCGTTAGGCATATGGGCTAAAATAGGACCAATATATATAGTTTTTATATTCCCGATTTTCGCATATTTTGAGAAAATCCCGAAAACTCCCGAAAAGTCTCGAATGCTTCCGATTATGAGAAAAATATTCCCGAAAACGCACTTTTGCCACGAAAACCCCCTATAATCATCGCTTTTTCTTCAAATATTTTAATGAAATGTTAAATTAATACCAAAAGCTATTATAAAGTTCAAATAATGTGTGATAAAGGGACTATATGAAAGTTAAACTCAAAACATGTGACAATCCATTTCATGCTTTTTTAAAATTATATTTGTCTCCGTCGAACTCGAGCGTTCTTTTTCTCAATTTAAGAATATTATTACAGATAAAAGGCATAAATTTACAGAAGAGAATCTCAAATTTCATGTTATTATCAAATATAATTCATTTTTAAATGCATAATTATTGTTTTAATGTCAAAATAAAATAAATTTTAACTCCCGATTTTTTCCCGAATTTGACTGTTTTATGTTCCCGATTCCCGCCCGAATTTGGGTGTTTTTACTCCCGAAAAATAGAGACTCTAGTAATGCTCATTATAAGTAGATATTGTACTTAATTTGAAAGAATTTTGTTTCCATATCTTTCCCCACTTTAGTACTGATATTGAGATTGAGTTTTGGTTTCAAATGTTTTGTTCAATACTTTTCATAGGATTTAGTTTCTTATCAAACGATAGAAATGTTTATCCCTTTCTATCCATTCGTTTGCATTCAATACCCGTTCAGTCGTTGACAACACTTAACATAAGAAACAGTTTGTTTTAATTTTATTAAAGTCTTATTATAGAAAATGTGTTCAAAATTAATGAGTGTTTCGTTTATTAAAATGAACAATAATTTAAATGCAATGAAGAGTTTGTGTGAAATATTAGACAAAATTCAGTGTATTTTGAATACAAATAATAGTGTTTTGTGTGAAGCGATTGAATGCAAAAATAATGATTATTTTTCAATCAATCAAACAATTGATTGCAATTCATGTAAAATCAGTGATAAACTGCTAAACCATTGTCATATCATTACTAAATCTGATGATTATTTCCACTGTTTTTGGCCTAAATGTCAATTTAAGACAACAACTAAACAACGCTTAACAACACATCAATTAATTCATTCTCAAATAAAACAATTTAAATGTAATTTTAATAATTGTAATAAAAGTTATAAAATGGAATCACATTTAATTCAACACAAGAATAGCATTCATTTAAATGTGAAAAGACCATGGGCAAATTGGCCTAAGCTGGCACCCGGGATTTGACATTGCCATGTGAAAGTACAACATATAATGAGTTCCCTGTTATAATCCATATAGCTGAGCTACCTCGGGTTCGGCCGCAGTGACCACTTTTATTTGGAAATTTCAACTTATTTAAGGCTAACTTGTGATATATAAAATCGATGTAGAATTGAATGTAGAACTAGAATATCGCAATATCAAATCGGTGGGATCAGTAGAATTTATGTTATTTACTTAAAACAGTTGAATTTTAGATAATATTAGTAAAATAACCTATTATTCCTTAACCCCTACTATCTACATCAACACAACACACACCCCAAGACCATTATCAGCACTCTTGACTCAATAGTTACTACCACTAATCGCGCACCAAAAATAAATTGAAATTACATTAAATCTATGCACCCGATCGAAATGGTATTACGATATTCTACTTCTGCGTTAAATTCTACATTGATTTCATATATAATATGTCAGTATTGGATAAGTTAAAATTTTTGCTAAAAGTGGTCACTGCGGCTGAACCCGCGGTCCGATGATCATATAGAAAAGAGCAATTGACTCCATATTTGACGTAGTTTAATGTCATACAATAAATCGTTCTTAATTTGTAAATATTTCTAAAAACCAACTAACCTATGTCCCCATTACAGATTTTTATAATCCCCCATTACAGATCTGCACATCCTCCTTTATGTGTGATTTCAACGAATGCTATAAAAGTTTTGCATCAAAACAATATTTAAATAGACATAAAGTTAGAGTTCATAATATTAATGATTGTCACGATTTTCACTGTCTTTGGCCCAAATGTGAATACAAAACAACAAATAAACAATATTTAACTTCACATCAATTAATTCATTCAGAAGTAAAACAATTTAAATGTGAATTTAATAATTGTGAAAAAATGTTTGTAACAAATTCTGCGTTATATCGACACAAAAATAGCATTCATTTAAATGTGAGATTTATTTGTGATTTCAATGAATGCCACAAAAGTTTTGGAACAAAACAGAATTTATTTCTCCACAAAAGTTGTGTTCATTTGAATGAAAGGAAATTCAAATGTAATGAAAAAAATTGTGGCAAAAAATACACAACAAAACAGAATCTATTTCAACACAAAATAATACATTCGAGAGAAAAACCATTTGTTTGTCATTTCAATAATTGTAACAAAAGATATAATCTCAAATCAAGTCTAATTCACCATATAAATATAAAAAATCATAAATGTATTTATAATGATTAACACATATCTGATTGCAAAACGTTAATTAAAATACCATTAATTCAATATATTCAAAATACTTATTTGTAAATTAGTTACTAATTATTAATAATAATAAATATTTGTCTTGTTTTGTCTCAAACCAGAGCTAACACTAACCATGGATTCGCTTTCATCCGAGTCTTCGGCCGATTTTATTGTTTCTATATTTAAATAATTAGTACCGAAAATAATATGAAAAATAAAACTTTTTGAACAATTAGGTTGCATCACATGTATATAATTCACGTAACATAAAGTTATAACATAATTAACAATATCATTTATTACAATATTAATAATTCATACATAAATAAATTATAATTAGTAAAATAAATAATATTACAAAATCTCAATATTCATGATTTAAATTATATTAATGTTAAACAATAACATCGGTTACGGACTTAATGACGAGATTATCTCTAATGTGTTTATCCGTAACATTAGATTCTGTGCAAAATATAACACACTTTTTGCCGTCAAATATAAAGAATCCGTTTTCCATGAAATGACCGCTAATTCCAGTCTTCGGCCGAAAGTCCAGCGAAACAAACGGTGCGATCGTTTCGGACGATAGGCTTATACTAAACGTACGGCTGTTTGACAGATAATGCGGGCCCACAGGGGCTGAACCCTCGGCCCTCTTAACCTCCTTCACGTCCAACACTTTGATATTAGGCTGAATTATGTGCGAGTTTTTCGGCTCCGATAACAGTAGGAAATTATTTGCCTATAAATAAAGTTAAACTTTAGTTTATTTTTAAGATATTATTAATTCTAACTTGTTGCCAACCTGGTCAATTTATCACATTTTAACTAATTAACATGTGAACTATATTTTATTATCATACACTTAATTATATAGTATACCTGTAATTTGCGCTCGGTGTTTGTCACCTCTACACTCAACACCCAATCACTGTGACAGTCAGTATGAGGGCATTTGGCCACTCTATTTAGTTCGGCAACAGTTATGTTATACACGAGTTGTGCGGAGAAACTGTCGGACGAGTGGCGAGACTTGTGCTCATAAATGGGCCGATTCTGTGACCAATCGTATACTTTGACCGACAAATCAAAGTCCAGTTTCCCG